GTGCCTCTAAAGGCAGGGGAATAAATACTGCATACTAAATTTGTCAACTATGACCATGGCTTGAGTCTTGTCGTGCCTACTTCTGCCTCCAGTATCCATGAAATCGATGGAAACTGGCTCTTTGGGTCCTGATTGAATAGGCAAGGGTCTAAGAGGACCTAGCAGGGCTCTCGTTTTAGTTTTATTGCGCTAACACACCTTGCAACTGCGCACATACTCTATGCAGTCTGCTTTCATACCTGGCCAAGTGTATGACATCATCAGGTTAGCTAAAGTCTTTTGCCACCCAAAATGCCCTTCTGTATCGTGGCATTCTCCTAAGATCAGGTTGTGGATTTCTTCACTGTTCGGGACACACTCTATCAGCGACATTGGTCTCCTCAAACAGTAACCCGTTCGTGGTTCGGTAATATGGTTCACTATCTGGGGCTCCCTTTACCCTTTTCATCAGCTCACTATAGATTGGGTCTTGTGCATAAGCATCTCTCACTTTCTGTTGCACATCGGCCCCTATGTCTAGATAGTGCACTATCACGCCGAAGTAATCAGCTCTCCTACTTAGAGCATCGGCTACCACGTTGTACTTTCCTTTCACGGGCCTTAACTCGAATTCAAATTGGTCTATCTCAGCAGCCCATCTAGTCAACTTGGGCATCATCTTGGCTTGTCTTTAGCCATCTAAGAGTCTCATGATCAGAATATACCCTGAAGTGCCTCCCAAGCAGGTAGTGCTTCTAGTGGTCTAGGGTCTGCCTGAGAGCGTAAAGTTCTCTCTCGTATGTCGATGTTGCGACTTTCTCTGAGGGCAGCCTGACTGACATGAACTCTATGGGTCTATAACTGTTGCCGTCATTTTGCTGCAAGACGGCGCCTATGCCATACTGACTAGCGTTTGTGGTGAAAACAAATGGCAGTGACGGATAGCAACTTTGAGGACAGGGTACTCTATGAAGGCCTCCTTTAATTTCTTGAAGGTTGGCGTGCAATCCTGGTCCCACTTCCAAATTGTCTCTTTCTTTAGTAACCTACGAAGGGGAGCAGCGATCGTGGAGAAGTTCCTTACGAACTTCCTGTAGTAGTTAGCCCATCCAAGGAACGAGCGTAACTCTGTCAGTGTCCGAGGAGTCGACCAATCTCCAATGGATGCTATCTTACTGTCCTCAAGCCAAATGCCGTCTTAGTCTAGTACATGGCCTAGGTAAAGGACCTTTGTCTTGGCCCATCTGCACTTCTTCGGGTTAATCTTGAAGTTAGACTCTCTTAGCTTGCCTAAAATCTGTCGCAGATGACCCTCATGCTCCTCGAGGGTCTTGCTGAACAGTAGGATATCGTCTAAATAAACTATGACGAACCTATCTAACCACGGCCTAAATAAGTCATTCATGCAGCACTGAAATGTGGTCGGTGCATTAGTTAGTCCAAAAGGCATCACTATGAATGCCCATACCTTGTCCTGAGCGCCGTCTTATACTAATCGTCAGGGTGGCCCTCTATCTGATGGTAACCTGACTTCAAATCTATCTTTGAGAAATACTTGCATCCCTGCACTCTATACGCGAGGCAATGGCTTTGCATTCTTGATTGTGATGGCATTCAATCCCCTGTACTCTATACACATGCGTAGCTCTCCCTCCTTTAGGACAAACAGAACAGGTGCGCCAAAGGGTGACGAACTAGGTTTTATCCATCCTTTTTTTAGGAGCTCGTCTACTGCCTGCGAAACTCCTCTAGCTCCTTGCGAGACATCCTGTAGACTGCCCCCTTAGGCGTTCTACTGCCAGGTTCTATCTCTATGCGGTGCTGGATCGTTCTGGGCACTGCTCCTGAAGGTGCTTCAGACAAGTCCTTGTACTCTTCCAACAAACTCGCAATAGTAGGATGAATCTTCTCTTCCTCTTTGGGCTTATCAGACACTGGCCTTACGCAGGCTACGAACACCTGCTCTTCAAGCTGCTCCTTTCTCACAAGTCTGGCAAATGCAGGAGCGTTGCAGCAGCAATGGGCAAGGGGGTTATCTACCCCAGACTCATGGTACAGGCGGACTTGCGTGATTTCGCCTGACGCACTAGGGAGCCTTCACTCGTGCTCTCTAAGGTGCAATGTGGCTCCTGCTGACTCTCCCCAGTCTGTGCCTAATTTTAATGTCGAACATGAGGTTCTCTTCTACGAGGAGGGTCAAAGAATGCAATACCTTCTCTACCTTCCCTTCTTTTTCTAAGCGAAAGCAGGCGTGGACCCCCTCAACATACTCATCGACGCCTAATCCTACTGTTGTGTGCAAGGATGTTAACTACAGGTTTTGTTAATCGTTGGACTTTCAGATTGAGCTTCAACTTTTTCAACGCTCTACGACTAATATAACTTCTAGTTGCCCCACTGTCTATCAAGGCTCCTACTCTAGCTCTAAAAATCTCTACGTCTGCGAGGATTAGCTATCCTTTCCCATCCTTCTTCATCTTGGCCCAGGCTTGCCTCCTCTCTCTCAACTCTTCAACTAAGTCTGTGAGGGAAGCGTCTAGAGAGACCCTAACACAAGCAGCCTCTGGACACCCTACTAGACGCTGGCCTGCAACCTCTGCCATAGAGATATGTGGAGTGGGAGACTCTACTTCGCGCGCACGCTCAGATCCATATACTTCTGGGGTAGGGGCAGTTGCAACCCCTACCGATGATTGTCTTTTGCTGCCCCAGACGCAGCACAGTCCCTATATTTAGGACAAAACTTTATAATATGGCCTGGGTCCCCACAAAACATTATTACGCTTTTGCCATACTTCCTTCTCAATACCTTGATCTACCCAAGGTCGACCCTCATGCCGACCTGGGTACCACCATCCCTGTATGGGGGGTGACCGACTAGAACGCAAACGGTTAGACGGGGACCTCCCCTTCCTCCTTCTCGGCGGCGCTTCCATTGCCGCCAACCCCCTGGCCGCCCTGTCCTCAGCCGCTTGGGGCCCAGCCATTCCAGCCAGACCCTTGTCCTCCTCCCTGCGGCCTCCCTCCAGCCGCGACAGCAGCGTAGGTTCTCCCCTGGCCTGCGCCGATGTCCTCCTCCTCTAGTCCCCACTCAATGTCAGAGTAGGAAACCTCGTATGCGCCACCTTCCTCCATTATTAGTATCAAACTATCCTAGGCCTTAACTTAGCCGGAGATGTTGCGCCCCTTCCACGTTTTTCCCTTAGACAAATCTTTATGCCATAACGTGGTAACTGGCGACGCTTGGGCGGCGAATGAGACTGCCTCCCTACTAAGAACATCATATGCCATACTCTGCCGATTCTTCTTCTAGAAGAAATGTCCCTGAATATTCTCAGGCAAGGCACGATAGAAGAGGTTAACCAGTTGGACATCAATCACTCCATGCCGAGGAAATTCAATTAGTTCGTCCATCGCAGACTTGAGGGCATGAACACTTTTCCATTGGCGCGTGTGTATCATTTGAAGCTTATCAGAGGCTTTAAACCCCCGCGTCACATATGAGAATCGCTCCCTGAGTGATTTCAAGAACTCGGAGAGGGGCATCAATTTGGAATATGCGACCATGTCGTTGTCACAATTCGCGGTGCAGGCTAATGACCTAGCAAAACTGGTCGCTTCATCTCGAAGGGCCTGGAAGGCCACTAAAACGTGATTCTCAGGCATGACTCCTTGCAAGTACAAATAGAAGTGCATGTTGGCCTCCCAGTTATCGAAACCCTCCCCCTTCTTTTCACTAAAGGGTTCGAGGAAACAGACTTCAACCTTTTCACGACGTGGTGAGGCCGACTCTTCTTCCTTAGCAGCCGCTAACTTGGCGCCTTCAATGGCGCTAGTGCAGAATTCCTTTGTCTTACTAATCGCAAGGTGGACTTGGCCCACCATGTATTTCATAATGTCCTGCGCGAAATCTCTAAACTCTGCGCGCATTGCATAAAACTTTATATCTTGACTACGTATGTATTGCATCTGCTCGCGTTGTGCAATTGGTAAAGACTCTACACTTTGGATAAGGGTCTCGAGTTTAGTTGCTAGCTCAGTCTCTGCCCCGATCTTCCCCATCCTGGCCTCTGCCGCCTTTAAGTCTCTTTCTGCTTTCTCTATCGCTTCCAGACGCCTAACTTTTTCTTGGGACAATCACCACTTCCATGCCCTCTGCTGTTCTTCCTCCTTCCAACTGCTTCCTTGCCACTTCTCTCTCTTCTTGGGGTATGGCCAACTCTGCCTCCCTATCTTCTCCCAATTCCAAGTGGGATATTCCTTTGCCATCTTCTCAATCTCCTCCTCCTTACTTGTACTAGCTTCACCTCTTCTTCTTTCCAATGGCTCTTCTTCTTTCTCCACCTCCTCCTGAATAGCTACCATCTTCTCCTCCTGCTCCTTTTTCCACCTTTCCATCTCCTCCTCCATTTGCCTCTTCTTCAAGAGGAAGGAGAAGATGGAGAAGAGGCAGCTGCCACCCTTCTGCGAGAGAGGAAGGAGAAGATGGAGAAGATGGAGAAGATGGAGAATAGGGAGCTGATCAGGCAGGCCAAGATGTTCGCCCTGCTAGAATAGCAGGAAGCTAAGAAGAGGTAGATGGAGGAGGAAATGGAAAGGCGGAAAAAGGAGCAGGAGGAGAAGATGGCAGCTATTCAGGCGGAGGTGGAGAAAGAAGAAGAGTCATTGGAAAGAAGAAGTGAAGCCAGTACAAGTACGGAGGAGGAGATTGAGAAGATGACAAAGGAATGTGTCACACACTTGGAATTGGGAGAAGATAGGGAGGCAAAGTCGTCCATACCCCAATAAGAGAGAGCAGCCGAGAGGACGCAGTTGGAACTTGGAAGCAAAAAGGGACCTGGTAAGGAGAAGGGCGAAGGAGGAAGAACAGCAAAGGGCATGTAAGTGGCCATTATCCCAAGAAAGAGTTAGGCGTCTGGAAGCGGCAGAAAAAGCAGAAAGAGACTTAAAAGGCAGCAGAGGCCAGGATGGGGAAGATCAGGGTAGAGACCGAGCTAGGAACTAAACTCGAGACCCTGATCCAAAATGTAGAGTCTTTACTAATTGCACAGCGCGAGCAGATGCAATACATACGTAGTCAAGATATAAAGTTAGATGCAATGCGCGCAGAGTTCAGAGATTTCTCGCAGGACATGATGAAATACATGGTGGGCCAAGTCCACTTTGCGATCAGTAAGACAAAGGAATTTTGCACTGGCACCTGCGAGAAATCTCTAGACTCTGCGCGCATTGCATCTAACTTTATATATTGACTACGTATGTATTGCATCTGCTCGCGTTGTGCAATTAGTTAAGGACTCGACACTTTGGATAAGGGTCTCGAGTTTAGTTGCTAGCTCGGTCTCTACCCTAATCTTCCCCATCCTGGCCTCTGCCGCCTTTAAGTCTCTTTCTGCTTTCTCTGGCGCTTCCAGATGCCTAACTTTTTCTTGGGACAATCTCTACTTCCATGCCCTCTGCTGTTCTTCCTCCTTCGTCCTTCTCCTTACTGGGTCCCTTTCTGCTTCCACCTGCTTCCTCGCCACTTCTCTCTCTTCTTGGGGTATGGCCAACTCTGCCTCCCTATCTTCTCCGAATTTCAAGTGTGCGGCACATTCCTTTGTCATCTTCTCGATCTCCTCCTCCTTACTTGTACTGGCTTCACCTCTTCTTCTTTCCAATGGCTCTTCTTCTTTCTCCACCTCCGCCTGAATAGCTGCCATCTTTTCCTCTTGCTCCTTTTTCCACCTTTCCATCTCCTCCTCCATCTGCCTCTTCTGCGCTTCCTGCTCTTCTAGCAAGGCCAACATCTTGGCCTGCTTGATCAACTCCCTCTTCTCCATCTTCTCCTTCCTCTCTCGCAAAAGGGCGGCAACTCTCTCTTCTTGCTCCTTGCTGTAGGGGGTGGTACTAGTTTCGAACCTAAGGGTCACCATGGTGAAAGTGCACAATCAACAACAATTCCGCGCCTCAACACGTAAACCCACCAAGTTAACTTATATCTAGGGGACTTCTGCTCACTACTCGGGTTAGACTCACGGCTCTACGACCACATCCACAGAGTCCTATTGACCTGTATAGAAGTGGCAAGGAGATATGACTAATTGACTTTGACAAACTCGACGTCAACAAGGGTGAGGGTGCACATCCACGTTGTAAGGGCTAGGCCAGGGCGTGGAAGGATGGTACCATTCGTCTTCTCGCTCCAACTTGGTCAACGCTCATGTCAACGGTCTTGGTCAACTCGGCGGTCAACAGTCTTGGTCAATGGTCCGGTCAACTTCGGTCAACATTTGGTCAACACCCTTGGTCAACCTCCGGTCAACGTTGGTCAACAGTCTTAGTCAACCTCTGGTCAACATTGGTCAACTCCCCCGGTCAACCCTCCAACCTTCCGGCTATGGTGGACCTTCTTTGTCACTCTCGTTGTCTTCACCTTGGCTATGGCCGACTTTACCTCCCTCTTCGTCAACTTCCCTCTTTGTCAACTTCCCCCTTCTTTCTCTCCGCGTCCTTTCTTTCTCCTTTCTTGATGGTGGTTTTCTTCTTCTTCGAGCTCGGCAGCTATGGTTGCCGTCCTCTGTTGCCTCCTCCTTGCTCTCTCTCTCTCTGTCTGTTTCTCTCACTCTGGTGTACTCTGGCTATGGCGGCTTCTCTCACCTCCAACTCGCTGCAGCTCCAACGTGGACAACGGGAACCAGCTCTGATACCAATGCAATCAGACTCAACTTCAGACTCGTTTACAACATGCATACATGAGAACTGATGGCAAACCAAACTCGTCAACTCAGAATCAACAACGAACTTGCACTTAAACTCTGTTCAGAACAATTGTACAACTTGCGGCTATGGCCGCGGAACACTGTCTCCACCACCAGCCTCACTCTCCCTCATGCATGCATGCACGAGAACCTACCCTGAATGTTCACGCAGCACAGGCACACACACTCTCTACACTCCGTTTGTGTCAGCCGCTGGGCGGCTATGGCCGCCGTCGTCTTCCTCACAGGCCAGCTATGGCCGCCGTCTTCCTCACTACACGATACCAAGGCAGCTCTTCCGCATGGCTCACAGGTGAATGAATGAATGGCTGGACGCCGCCTCTTCATTTATACTTCTTCGGAGGTATCCGGTCCTACCAAGGCAGTTCTTCCGCATGGCTCACAGGTGAATGAATGAATGGCTGGACGCTGCCTCTTTATTTATACTTCTTCGGAGGTATCCGGTCCCGCCTCCAAACCGAGTGGCCTGGGCCAAACCGTGTGAGGCCAGGGTCCGGAGGCTTCCGAGCCGCATGGGCCTTTGGGCCAAACCGTGTGAGGCCAGGGTCCGGAGGCTTCCGAGCCGCATGGGCCTTTGGGCCAAAACGCGTGGGCCTCTGGACCCAAACGGCATGGTGCAGGCCCCCAAAACGCGTATTCTGGAGACTTCTCCAGAATGCGTGGGCCTTTCCCTTTCCCCACGTGCAGCCCCTACCCCTGGTACCTGCTGACTGGACTTGCCTACAGGGACCTACGGACTTCTAGAACCTACAGACCGACAGACTTTAGGCCCACAGTAGACTTAGGTAGAGACTTCTAGAACATGCTCTTTTTAGGCCTACTGGTAACAGACTCAACTCCTAACCTACAGACCTAGGGATCGACTCTCACACAGATCGCTGGGCCTATGTACAGGGTACAGGGTAGGTCTAGGGATCGAATCTCACTCAGCACACAGGGTCAATGTACAGGGTTTGGCCACAGGTCTAGGGTTCGAACTCTGTGTCTGCAAATGTCGGGTCTACTGGGTGAAACCATTTCAAATAGATGGAGTGGCAGCATAAAGGATTATTAGGAAAAGGGAGCTCTTATGACCTCTCCTAATAGTCCTTAGCAGCCTTTCTTTTTTTTTCCCTTTTTTCCTCTTTTGGAGGTTGGCCATGGGGAGGGGTGATTGGCATTAGTAGCCCATTGGGGGGAGTGGGGGGAGTGGGGTGGGCGGGGCGGTGAAGGCCATATTAAGTCTGGAAGGTCCCGGTCCCCAATATTCCAAAGCAAACAGGCTGTGGGTGACCGGTACCGAGTCAAAGCTGGCCCAGGCCCAGTCAAGCGGAGGCCAAGTCAAGCGGAGGCCGAGCCCAAGTCAACAAAGACGACCGGCCTGGTCTCATCATTCAAACATGTTGCTCATTCGTGAGGAGGTGGAAGCGCTGTGGTGCTTGTGCGCTATTGCAAGTGGCTGAGCGCTAGAGAGGCCAGCTGGGCAGCGCTGTGCTGAGGTAGATAGGCGGCCATAGCCGCACAGTAGTAGTAGGAGGCCAGCTGGGCAGCGCTGTGCTGAGGCAGATAGGCGGTCATAGCCGCACAGTAGTAGTAGTAGTAGCAGTAGTAGTAGTAGTAGTAGTAGTAGTAGTAGTAGTAGTAGCAGAGCTTGTGTAGGAAGCGGATGTATCCAAGGCTGTGTTCCTCATAATAGCAGAGACTGAGAGAGTACAAGAGAGAGGAAGAGAGAGATAGGGACAGTGAGGCAGCAAGGTTGTGTGACATGAGCCAAGAGAGGGAGAGAGAGTTGCATACCTGATTGAGGTTGTTGTGTGCTGCGCTAATGAGCACTTGGTGACTCATGCCAGAATCTGTATAATATGACGTCGTGCTGATGGGCGCTTGGTGACACGAACTCTGGCTTTGTGTAATATGATCACTCGTTGAAGTTTATGAGCTGCACTAATCTGGACCCTCCATATCTGGACTTCGGTGTGGATTTTGTATGAATGACGCACATGTGTGGAGTGACGAGATAAGTGGTTCATTGCAATTCGTATCAGAGCAGGATCCTGCTGATGTTGGACTCTGGCATGCATAAGGCCAGCGAGATTGATGGGCGGCGAAGAAGTGGTCGGCTGTCGGGGATGACAAGAGTACGTACCTGCATGTAAGGAGCGATTTAGGGGAGCATCATCAAGGGAACATTCACAAGCGCCTCGCTCCCCTAAGCCTGGTGTGTGCTTGTTGATGTTGCATGCTTGAGTACACCTTCCCATATATCTTGGAGACGCTGCTGCAAGTCAAATATGCCATCATACACTCTGCAAGATTTGTCGAGTCAGCATATGGTCAGTCTATGTGAATGATTATAGGTCGAGTCTAGGGTAGAGCCTCGGCAGCTGGATGTATCACCCGATAGTAGGGAGCATGGGCATGAGTGGCGAGCGCTCGTAGAGCAACTCGTCCAGCCCTAAGACCGGTACTGACCGGCATGCGACTGAACCGGTCTTGATGCAGTGAGGAGTCTTTAAGTCTTGAGAACATACCTTTTCAGTTTGGTGGGCACAACGTCCTATCTGCATCGTTAAAGAATTCCTGAGGTCTGTGCTGGCTGACCTTAAACTGGTGGTTGCCCACCAGCTAATAGGGGAGTTGTAGTGACATTGTGGGAAGGGAGATAAGTCAGGTCAAATCCTATAATTAAAAAAAAAAGTAGTTAAGTGTTAAGTGTTAAGGGTTAAGTCTACGTGGTGAGGAGGCATAGTCCACATGCCTGTGCTTCCTGTAATCATGGATGACTACCCGATGTTCGCTTTCCTAACCCTATCTGTGATATGGGGTCCGCTCCTCCGCTTTCTCTTTTCTCTCGGTTCCACCGGACAAGTAGAATGAGTACGACCATGAGATCCGGTAGAACCGCACAGCCATATGCCGCAGAACAGCAGGCTGGCTGGTAGAGAAAAAGGAGGAGAGGGAAGAGAAGAAAATACAAAAAGGAGGATGAATTGAAGAAGAAGCTAGATGATGAAAGGAAGTGAATGAAGGGGGAGATGAGAATTAAGGAGGAAGAGATGAAAAGGGAGTTAGAAGAAGAAGAAGAAGAAGAGCAAGAGGGAGAAGGTATGGAGAGAAGGGGAAGGAAACCTGGCACAGAAAAAAAAGGGTGGAGAAATTTGGGTTTCACACAGAGATACCAACAGAGACAAGTTGAAAGGGATGCTTTCCTAGCTAAGTTGGCAGCATGCGAAGATGAGGTAGAGAAGAGTTTGTTGTTGGAGAAGGAGTGAGCTCCACACTCGATTGCTTGCCCAGAAAAGAAAGGAGGACTGAAAGGAGGAGGAGAGGGGCTTCAAGAGATACTTAGGAAGCAAAAGGGCAAAGAAGTGGAGGTCAAGGAAATTCTAACTCTACTAACAGACACTACTGCACACCACCCTCGAGATCAATGCACTTCAGAAGTCCGTAGGTAAGATTGAGTGACATCAAGAAGAGTTCCAGAGTACCTCGAACAACTTCCTTAGCGCTTCATCCCATAGAATAGATATAACAGAGTGTTAGATTATGCCCATCAGTTAGATGACCTCTTCACACATAAGATGTGAAACGCTGCAGACCCCTGAAAGTCGGCCCTAAATCCCCAAAAGCCAGAGAGGTCCGAAGTCCCATGTCCCAGCTTCACGTAGTGTGGGTCTGTTAGGCCAGTTCAAGGCATCGTAGGCCTAAAGTCAAGAAACATCCGGAAACGTTAGGTTGAGGTTGAGGGTCCGACATCCGACAGAAAAGTAAAGAGGTTCGAGTCATTGTACAGCTTGTCTGGTACCCCACAGAAAAATCTGGAAAGTCCAAGTCCACTTCCGAAGTCCACAAAAATTCCGACAAGTACTAGGAAAGCCCAAGAGATTCCGGGCTGACAAAATGATTGCAACAGAGGCCGTGGCTGACCGGTACTGGTCTAAGGCACGCCAATCCAAGTGCAATTCCTATATTTAGTTGCTACAGTGCAGCAACGGGATGCAGTTGTTCATTCGTGAAGTTGTGGAAGTGTTGCTGTTGCTTGTGTGACCAAGCGAGTTGGGCAAGACCGCACTCGAAGAAGAAGGGAGCGCCAAAGGCAACCATAGTTAGGGTGGTTCTAGAGAGGTAGGGCGGCCATAGCCGCCAAGGTCTAAGTCTGATCTGAGCGGCTGTATTCCGGGAGCGATCCAAGGCAGAGCAGAGAGAGAGGGAGGCGAGCAATCCAAGGCAGAGCAGAAAGAGAGGAAGAGAGGGAGAGAGAGAGCGAGCCTGAGCGCTACAAGACCAGAGAGAGCATGAGGAAGAGAGAGAGAGGAAGTAGTAGTCGACTACATACCTGCTCCCAGTCTGGTGCTGTGTGGGCATCAGTTGGTCGCAGTTCGTCTTTGCTGCTGGAATCTTTGAGTTTGTCTTCCGTGTTGAGGATGCATGTTGACTGAACCCATTAGCTGGATGAATCACTAGTAAAGTAGGGACGTGGGCATGAGCGGCGCACGCTCGTAAAACAACCCGGCTACCCAAATTACCAGTACTGATCAGCACGGACCTGAACCGGCGCGCGCTCGTAAAACAACCCGTCTAGCCCTAAGACGGATATTGACCGGCATGCGACCGAATCAGTGTTAACGCGGTGAGGGGCTTTAAGTCTTGAGAACGAACATGTATCTGGCGGCCACAACGTGAGGTCCGTGTTGGCAGACCTTAAACGGCTGGTTGGCCACCAGCTCTTCAGGGGAGTGTGGTGACGGACGTGGGGAAGGGAAGTAGCAGTTGTAGAGTACGCGTACCCCGGTCTAGGTCGGGATTAATTTTACGTGTTGAGGTAAGTAAGTCTTGAGGGTTAAGTCGAGGCGGTGAGGAGGTGGAGTCGACCTATTATGCCTATATCTCACCATGGATGACTATCCTATGTTCGGTCTCTTGGCCCTCAGCGTGATATGGGGGGGCCTCCTTCGCATGTTCTTCCCATTGGGGTTCCACCATGCCTTCGGGTTGGGCGTTGTATCTACATCCAGAAGGTCCACACAGCCCTTTACCCCGGATGAGCAAGCCAAAATCAATGCGAAATTAGCGGAGCAAATGGAAAAGAAGGCAAAGAGATTGAGAAAGGAGGAGGCGGCGATGAAAAAGAAGTTGGAGGAGGAGAAAAAGAAGCTAGAAGAACAACACAAAAGATTAGAAGAGAAGTTACAAAAGGAAATGGAGGAAGAGGCAAGAAATATCTTGGAGGAAGAAGAAATTGAGGTTCTAGAAGAAAAAACGTACAATAACAGCGTGCACCTGTCCACCTGTCGCACTCCCGATGAGTTGCACAAATCCTTTAGACCACGTAGACCGTTTGAGGGACTTAACCAGGATCAGATTCACAGGCTAGCGACCGGTACCAGGGAGTTCGCAATACAACACGAAAAAGAAATAGCTAAAGTTGTGGAAAACCTCAGGAAGGCCCAACATATAATGATAGAACAAGCTAACAAGCACCGTCGCCCATCGTAGTTCCAAGTAGGCGACTTAGTCTGGGTCAAGTCTAAGGAGTTTTGCTCCTTACGAAAACATCTCGCAAAAGTTACTGCCCTCGTATAGAGGACCGTGGCCAGTTCTAGAAGTCAAGGGCGGAGAGGATGGGTCGTCCTACACCATAGAGATCCTAGCACACCTCCACACCTACCCTGTATTTCATGCATCAAAGTTGTTGCCGTGCGTCACAAGTGAGCAATTTCCATCCAGACGGTCCATGATCCCTCCAGACATGGACGGAAGGTATGACATTGCCGGCATCGTAGGTGAAGATGTGTTTAGAACAGGAGGTAGAGGTCGTCCACAAAAACAATAAAAAGTCCGATTCGCTTATCAGGAGCCAGAGGACGACCGCTGGTTTACCAGAACAGAACTTCTAGAAACAGCTCCCGACATAGTGAGAGCCTACGAGAGAGAGAAAAAAGGTAAAGGTCCTGCCTTGGACTGAGTTATTCTCGGAGGACCTCGAATTTAGGCCGGCGGGAGTGAAACGGTATTCGCCAGTTTGCAATAGCCGATGCAGATCCCAAGGCTCGATCCCTAGTCCTCACCTTACATGTGTACAGTATCGGTGTCGACCCCGAGAGTTCAACCCGTGACTTGTGTATTTGTAACAGTTGGTAGACTGTCATAGGGTCTGTAGGTAGCAGGGGTTCGATTTGTAGGTCTGTCGAGTAGAAGTCTTAGGGAGTTCTAGAAGTCGTAGCTGCTACAGTCCTGAAGGGTCAAGGTCGTAGCTGCTACAGTCTTCGAAAGGCCATGACCCAGACTTCGGGAAGGTCCTAGTAGTGGCCTTTCGAAGTTGTTCACGTTTTGGCTGAGGCAAGTGGGCTAGTGGGCAAGTGGTGAGCCCAACTACAGTACGTTGGCAGTGCAACTGCATCGAGTTGGCAGTGCAAACCCATGCAGTCAGCAGTACCGGTCCCGGTCAGTCCTAGTCGAGTCAAGCAAGTACCGCATGGGACTATGTGCACCACGGGCAAGGAAAAGGGCCAGACCAACGAGCTTCAGAAGTATAAATCAAAGGGCAACATCCAGCCATTCATTCATTCTTGCGTGAGCCATGTGAAAGCGCTGCTACAGCGACTTGTGCGAGGTGGTCTGCAATGAGCCCGAGGGAGAAATGGGTGAGAGAGAAGGAGCTTAGCCATAGCGATAGGGTAGCAGCGGCCATAGTCGCTATAGCTGTAGATAGCGTGCAATGTCTGTGTATGTGTGTGCAGAGTAACGTGTGTGGGATATCCAAGGTGATCATGTGTGTGCGAACAAAGAGTTGAGTGGGCGCTGTGTCGCCATAGCCATTGAAGTGAACTTATATCTGAACTGTGTTCTCGGCGACCATATCTCTGACTTTTGAGTGGGCGCTTGTCGCTAGTTTGCTGCGCACCAGTTTGCATACATGTGAAGTGTGAAAGATAGCGAGTCTGATTGCATCCTGGTCGGGCTTGATGTAATGCCTCAGCAGATGCTGCACCACATGGTTCATCTGTTCAGCCTGCTCATTTGCTTCGGGATGATTCCCTAAAGTCATCTGAAGTTGGTTGCCCATCTGTTCAGCGGCCTTCTTCCACATCTCACCTGTGAAATGCACATCTCTGTCACTAACGATTGTCTTTGGCAGTCCAAACCAATTGTCCATGGAGAACTTAATGACGTGCTCAATCCTAGCAGTCTCCGGCATGGCAATTAGTCTAGCATACTTAGTGAACCTATCCACTATGACGAAGATGTGTCTCTTGCCATTCTTGCTGGTCACGAGAGTATCCATGAAGTCCATGGAGATACTCTGCCCTGGGCCAGCAGGAATGGGTAGAGGCTTGAGTAACCCAAGCGGAGCTCTAGTCCGCGGCTTGTCCCACTGACAGACCTGACAGGTCTATATGTACTTCTTTGCATCGTCTAGCATGTTAGGCCACCAAAATCATTGTACTAAGTTCTCACTAGTCTTCTTGTAGCCGAAATGTTCCGTTGTGTTGTGGCACTCACCTAAAAATAAACTACACAAAATTTCCCTAGATGGAACAACTAACCTCTTAAACCTTGCTTTTTCAAGAAAGAATAACCCATCCACCATCACAAACTCGTAAGTGGTGGCCTTGTCTTTGGCCTGCAGTTTGTTGATGATGTCCATCATGATGGGTCTTCCTTGTAGGTTTCTCCCAAAGATCGAGTCACGTCGTCAGATAAGCCAAACTCATAAATCAGCGCACCTAGGTAGTCTGCACCTCTAGACAACGCGTCTGCAACCTTGTACTCTCGCTTCACATAGTCTAGTTTGAAGTCATACTAATCTATGACTTCAATCCAGCATTTGAGTGCATCAGAGAGAACTGGCTGGGTCTTGATCCACTTGAGGGTCTGATGGTCAGTTCTCAAATAGAAGAACCTTCCTAACAGATAGTGCCTCTAGTGGACAAGTGCCTTGTAGAGAGCATAGAGTTCCCTTTTGTAGGTGGACTTTGCCAACTTCGTGGATGCATCTTCTTGCTCATGTACTCGACCGGTCTCAACTTTTTCCCTTCCTGCTGAGCCAACACTGCGCCAATGCCATATTGGCTTGTATCAGTGGTTACAACAAATGGCCTTTGCGGGTCGGGTACCATGAGAACCTCATGATGCATGAGAGCATCCTTCAACCACTTGAAAGAAGCCTCACACTCGTCGGTCCAGTCCCATTGCGTGTCAAGTCGAGTTAGATCAGTCAAGGGAGATGCGATCGTACTATAATTCTTTACGAAGTTGCGGTGATAACCACACATCCCCAAGAATGATCTGACCGCAGTCACAGACTGGGGTCGTGGCCAGTCACGGATGCCAGCCACCTTTGCGTCTTCGGGCCTAATCCCATCCGCGGATACTTCATGACCCAAGCACAAAAATCGAGTGCGACCGAAGGAGTGATAGTACTTTGTCTACATGCTGCGCATGCTCCTCGACAGTCCTACTAAAGATAAGTATATCGTTGAGGTACACGACAATAGACTTATCCAAGTAATCATGGAAGATCCTATTCATGGCGTGTTGAAATGTACCCGGCACATTGCAAAGGCCAAAGGGCATCACCACAAACTCGTACAGACCGTACCTGGTCTGAAATGCGGTTTTGTGCTGGTCCTCTGGTCTTATGGCAATCTGATGGTAGGCGGATTTTAACTCTATCTTTGTGTAGTACTTACATCCTTGCACCCTATCCAATAGGTCGCCAATGCGTGGTAGAGGCTCTGCGTTCTTAATGGTGATGGCATTGAGGCCTCTATAATCAATGCACATCCTTAGTGTTCCCCCTTTCTTTGGAGCAAATAAGATTGGTGACCCAAAGGGGGAAGTGCTAGGCCGAATCCAACCCTTTTCTGTGAGCTCTTTCAGTTGCCGACGAAGCTCGTCCAACTCGGTCGGAGCCATCCTATAGATTCTCCCTTTAGGTGTCTTACTACCTGGGATGATTTCTATACCATGGACAACCTCCCTGTCTACGTCTCCTGAGGGCTCCTCGAACAGATCAGGGTACTTAGCGACGATGGTCTCTATCTCTGGGGATGTTTTAACGACCTCCCCTTTTGCAAAAACATAGACTAAGTACGTTCCTTCCTTTTGGTTCTGTTTATAATAGTTATAGAAGGCAGATGTCCATAAGCACCCATATGAGTCTATTAACCTACTGGCTTTATACTTAGCCAGTCTAACGGTCCTCCCATTAAGCAACTCGTGCTTCAACAACTTCTTGTCGCAGTCAAACTAGGGCTTGGCAACCTCGACGTAGTACATGCCCAGTAACATGTCAAAGGGCAAATCATCGCTCACCAGGAATGATATCTTATGGTTTATCTCTCCTCCTGGGTAGGAGAAAGTGCAAACTACATCTTTAATGTAGTCCTCCACCATCATGTGCTCTTTGTTGGCCAAAGTAGATGCTACCGGTCTACTAAGGCGTTGCACCCGGTCCTATAGCGCAGTCTATCAACGCAGTCGCAGCTTATGAAGTTTCGCGTGGAGCCAATGTCTACGAAGGCGCCGCACTTGCGAGCACCCACACCAACTTCCAAAATGAAGTGTTCCCCTCTAGAACCTCTACTTAGTGCCGCCCCGGACTCACGAGGGTCCCTTGCCAACCACTCACCTTGAAGGTCCTCTAAGGCTTCAGACACATCCAACATACAGAGTATAGCTGGGTCCGGATGCATCTGCGGGGTGACGAAGGACTCGATAGCTTCGCCCAACTCTTGAAACCGGGAGGGTACATCACCCGCTTCAACGAGAGTAGAAGCAGCTACAACTTCTATCGGCCCTAAGTGTTTCCCGAGCTGGAGCTCGTAAAGGCCCCAGACTGAGAAGAAGGAAACCCACCCTTAGAAGAGATCTTCTGCAAGACTTTAAGGTTCTTGCACTTAAACTGCGTATGGACGTACTCGCCACAGTTTATGCAAACTCCCCGTGACCAACAAGACCAACGATCCCGCCACACTTCCTGATCCAAGCCTGCTCTAACCCAAGCTGCTATTTTGTTTGGGTTAGCGGCCTGCCCCTGACTCCTTTGCTGACCGCCCTTCCCACGGCCACCTACCTTAGTCTTAACTGCTACGGTGAGGTTGCTAACCTCAGCATTCTCCTCGCCGTCTAACTTTGAACCCTCCATAAGTTCGGAAACATCATTGATCTCCGTTTGATTCCCTTCGCAATCAACCATCATCAATCGACTACCCTTCTTCTTCCATTCCTGTGGAGCCTTCTTCTTTCTTCCATCCGCAGAATGGGTATGAGCATCACCCAGTGTAGCCTCTAAATCTAAGGCCTTCTTACTGAATGTCTCAAATGTGTGATACTATCGCCAAACCTCGCTGACCAGTAAGTTCTTGATGTCTATGGGAAGACATCTTAAGAACGTGGTCAATAAGACCTGTGGATTGTACTCCACTCCTGGAACGACTATCAGGCGCTCTATGGTTGTGGTAAGTTCTCGCACAGACTTGTACGTCCTAGCATCAAGCTTTAATAGCCCATCTATGGCAATCTGTGTCTGCTGAGGGTTGTGCCATCGAGCCTCCACTAAGTCCATAAAACTTTCTAGGGTGTGGGTCTGCGCCCAATCACCCTGTTTCTGCCGAACCCCTTTGAAGCTACCAATCCATTAAGCCAGCGAGTTGTTCAACCCTCTAAATATGATGTAGCAGTTATCACTTCCTCTTCTACCAATGTCCTCTTTGCCCTCACCCATACTGGAACCGTTCTCAACCACGTGTCGAGAGCCTCATCCTTCTTGTCTCTTGAGAAGGTGAGAGGTGGTTTCAGGGGGGTCGTGGGGGACCAAGGGAATTGCTGTCCCGCTGGCGGGACAGGTGGCGACTCTTGTGTAGCACCAGTCGTTGGACCAGAAGATGAAGAAGCAACAGTTATCTAGCGGTCGGCCCCTCTACCTGGAGCCCGCTCAATCAAACAAGCGCTGAAGTATCCTTACTGCACATGAAGCATCGTCAGCGCACCAAGTAACAATGTCGCCAGTGCCAGGGAAGCGGCGATCACGAACCAGCTCCGATACCAGATTGCAAGGAATATGAGTGTGCACGATATACAGAAAACCAAGTTGCGAAATCACAAAGATGTCAAGGTAGTCGTATCCAAGCAGAGAGTACAAAATGCACTTAGAAACCAACACAGCATCCAAAGTTCAAGCCCGTAGGCCACACCAACACAATATCCAAAGTCACTCCTCTCTGTTTGGCGCTCGGCGCCCAGCCTACTCTACCCCACTATCCTACCTACAGCTGGTTCACGCAACAGGCTCACTTCGACTCTCGAAGACCAATGTACATGATTGTCAACACCATCGCCGACCTCTCTTCATGTACCAGGTACGTATATCGTCACCCTCAAGCAGAACTTGATGACCCCACACTGCACCTCCTTCCCTGAAGACCACCAGATCGCCCGCTGTACCCCCTGGCGCCCAACAGCTCGGCTATGGTTGCCTGCGCCCCGCTGCCCCGCAGCGCCGCTCCTCACCACTATGCACCCCGTCAGCGCCTTTGACAGCAGCGCAGCATCAAGTGAGAGCGCAGCAGCACTTCCGCATTGCCAGCGCTGGCCAGACTGCCTGGCCTGGGCTGCCTCACTTCTTTTATGGAAGTGGCAGCCTCCTGGATGCTGTGTGTGGCCTGGCTGGAAGCTTCCAGTAGCTTCCGGTTGGGCCTCAGAACCTGCGCCCGGGCCCGAGACTGCAGTTGAGGGCCTGGGCCCTTTACAGTTGGGCACGGCCTGAGTCTCTGGACTCGGGCTGTTTGCTGCATCTATGCAGGGCTCCCAGGCAAGTGCGTTGGCAGTACTGCTTTTGCAAAGGCCGCTGCCTGCTTCCCAATGTATCGGCCCTGTTTTGTGTGTATGAGCCCAGGCGCAGCTGTCAAGGCCTGGGCCAACTGTATGACGCAGCTTTGGGAGGCTCACACGTCTACCCAACCAACTTGCGTACTGCGAGAGCCTGAATACCCCCACATGAAAATGTCAAATTTTGCCTCTGACGAATATTCAGGCCCGCCTTCACTTAGGGCGGGCACTTGGCATGCTGGGGGCCTTACCCAGAACATGTGATGTCTGATAGGTGCCCCTTGAGGGCTTGTTCCTCACAATTGTTTTTTTTTTTTTTTGGCCCAGCGAAATGAAGAGTTGCTGTGATTCGAATTTGCGAGGGCCTCGGCTCCAGCACTCACCAAAAATGTGCAAAATGAGAATGAATCTCCCGCTAGGAACTGGGGAGCCCACACTGCTCTCGAAGTGTGAGAAAGACAAAAATGTGGCGGGTGCTGGCCATGTTCTCGCAGGAAGTTCGTTCACATTCTGCATATCCCGGGAGTGGTATGGTGACACACTTGGTCATGTTGTGCTGTCCACGCTTCAGGCACTGCTGTGTTTGGGGATCGCCACACCGACAAAAATGTGGCCGGTGCATCTGGCCATGTTCTGGCGGGAAGTTCATTCTCATTTTACACGTTTCCAGAGTGGTGTAGCAGTGCCCAGCCTCCGCTGCCCTCCCCATGCTCCCCGGCACGTGTGCAGCGGCCAGCCACTTGTTTTCTTTCATTTCTTTTGCACGTTTCCAGAGTGGTGTAGCGGTGCCCAGCCTCCCCTGCCCCCCCCATGCTCCCCGGCACGTGTGCAGCGGCCAGCCATTTGTTTTCTTTCATTTCTCTTCGACTGCCATGTTCTCTGGGAAGGCCCTGGCTGAGGGCACACTCACACAAGGACTTTCCAGAATGTATCTGACCCCTATTGCGTCCAAATCATAGTTGTGGCACATCACGTGCGCCGCAGCGCACATGCGCACATGTGCACGCGCACATGATGCGGCGCATTTAGAAAATAATAAATAAATAAAAAATCAGAAACGGTAGGTCGTCGTACCCATACGTGTCCCTCCCTTTTAAAAAGGGTAAGTAAACAGAAAGAGAATATTTTGGGGCCTCGTCGTACTGCTCATTGGTTTGGTTCTCCTTTCCAAAAAGTACCCTGCAAGCAATTCGCAGGGTTTCCATAACCTCTGGAAGGATGTGCATTGGACTGCTGGAAGACCACGAGTAGGCCAGCAATATATCCCGGATTCGAATTCAGGTTTGTGTTCCAAGAGCTATGGGTTACAAACTTACCACAAACACTCCAGTAGTTGTCTCGTTTTTTTTTTTTTTCCTTTTCTTACGTGCAGTGGCCCTAAGGGCCTCGCTCCACTCATCAGCACTTGCAGAAAAGAAAAACGGATGGCTTGTATGGTTCCAGTTTCAAGGAGAAGATTCATTCTAGTTTTGCACATACAGTAGCTGTCTCGTTTTTTGGAGTGTTGTGATCCCCATGAGAAAGACCGATGGGAAATGGGAAGTTGGTCTTTCCACAGTAGGAGAACATGGGGGCGTTACCCTGCAAGGCTGGGACCTTCCGGGCCAAGATGGTAAGGAAAGGGATAGGATTTTCACTAATCAAATGCGAGCCTTTATTCCCAAGCACTACACACCTGGGGCGGGAGCAGGCGTGAGATTCGAAGCCTGCGACCAGCAGATGGCTAAGAATGATTTCTACTTGCTTTTTGACTCCAACAAAACGGCCGACCTACGCTGGTATAACCACAATGCTCTGCTAGATTTACAATGCGCCAAAGTCAAAGCCAACGGGTTTTGGTCAGATGACGATGTGTGCAAATGTTTGTGCAGAACAGTGTGGACAAAGGCCCTAAGCCTTGAAAGATGGGACGTTAAACAGTGGCACCCCCTCTGAATCTGTTGCCATGAATCTGTCGTACCCGAATAATGGAGGATTTAGATATACTATACTGCAAAGACCCTGCTTGGCAGCAGTGCGTAAAGACAGCGGACCTGGATCTACGCTCCATTAATGTTAATGGTTTGGCATCCAGTAAGCCTGAGAAACGCCAAGCCATTTGGGATCAACTCAAAGGTGTTGGGGGCAAAAGATGGCCGGATGTGATATGCGTACAAGAGACTCACCTGCAGGATAACCCGGCGCATAATAGGGCCCATAAGAGGGTCTGGCCTCACTCGGCTGTGAGAGCTCATGCCCCTAGGCCGGGATCACCAGGAGTAGCAACTTGGATCCCCCCCGACTCTAGATTCCAGTTAGTTCACTGGCCAGTAGACGAGGAAGAGGGGCGGTGGGCCTCTGTATTAGGCATGCTCGAATTGGAGTTACTCTGTATTCTCTACATCTACTCACCCAACACAGTCGGAGAACGAAGGGCCTTCCTAGGAAATCTAGGAACGCAAGTCTCGGAGGGTATTCCTCTGATCATAGCAGGTGATTTCAACGCCACTCCGGATAGAAGACTGGATAGATGGCACCCCCAGGAGACCCTCCCGTTTGCTGTGGTCGAGGATGAGCAAATGATATTAGAATTTTGCGAAACCCTCTCGGTTTTTGACACCTTTCGCTGGTTGCACCCTCAGGACCGATCTTTTACGTGCATAAAAGACAGCGATCCAGCGCGGTTATCCAAATCACGAATTGATCTTATCTTTCTCTCCAAGGACCTGGAGGGTGCACTGCGCTGGTCATCTATCCTTCCACGCAACCCGTACCCGGGTCTGGATCACAAGACATGTGGGCTAATCTTAACAATGAGGAAAATGTCGGATCAAGGGCTTGGGTTTTACAAACTTAACACTTCCCTCTTGAGGGACGACCCACTTAGACAGATGATTCCGCTCGAATCGCAATTTTGGCGCCAACAAAAACATCTTTTTGATTCAGTCTCTACATGGTTCAATAACAGGTTGATTTTCCTGGCTAAAAAGTGTAAGGAATTCTCTAAGGTTAGAGCGGCTCAACGTTATCAGCAAGAATTAAGCATTCACAAGGAATTGCTAGAACTGGAACAATAGGAAGATTCACAACATCTCACTATTCCCATTCAGAGAGTGAAGGATCAACTCTTAACTTACGCACAACATAGATGGCAAGGTATCAAAATTCGAGGGAAAATGACCAAGTTCACCCAGGAAGCCACAATGGACACTCGTTTCTTCGCGATGGCTACGACCCACGCGAACCGTAATCGAGGCACTCTTTGAACCAGACAGTAGGGAGGAAGTTATTGCAACCGATACCGCTCATTGTACATTAATCACGAGGAATTTTTTTAAACAATTATACACTTCCCAAATCCCGACCCCGCTGGG